AGCTTAATTAGTGTGAATTGAACAGGTTTTTTTTTTTCGTCTCTTTAGGAGCTATGTTCCCTTTGAACTTAACAGTATGTGATTCTGAAATTACGTGTAGTATATCTAATATCACAAATTCAAAGTCACTTTTAAATGTAAATCGTTAATTTGCCCTACGATATCCTTTAATATTGCTGTTACTATTTTTAGGGGGATATATCTACAGGCTAATTTTCTCCTTTAAGATCTAACATTTTCCCTTCGGTATTTTTTTTCCTTTTTTCTATTCTTTTCTATATTTTTCTAATATACTCGTAGGTTAATGATTTTCCTATTCCCCATGTCATGTCAAAAGCTCCCCTCTCTGTCTGCATGTAACAACACATCATCCCTTTATATTCTGGTTCATAATGATATTACAAAGAGGGGATGTTGCCAAAGAACACAGAGGGGGAAACGTGGGACAGTGTTTAATGGAGTATGACGTTTGCAGACATCACCTTTACCGAAACTGTCTATACCAACAGCACATCACAAGATCCAGTCCATTATCACAGTGATAGCATGGGTATGTTGAATCATGGGGGTGGGGCATACTATCAATATTTCTCTTTTTTATATGCATAGCTTATGGGAAGTTTATTTAATTGAATATGTTGTCTATTTTCGCTTTCTCTCTCTCTCTCTCTCTCTCTCTCTATCTATCTATCTATTCAAGTATCTTTCTCTGTCTTTTTCGAAACAATGTATCACATATCGCATTTCTACGTTGAATGTTTCTCTTTACAGTATTGGAGTGTCAATTGGAAGTTAGTATCGACGTCTTTTCTTTTGTGCAGCCAACACAAAATATCTCTTAAAATTTATGATTATATTTTCAGGCGTAAATACAAGTTTCAAAAGTTATTTTATATCTTAATCAAATTTTTGGGTTTATTATTCTGCACTGAATGAATATATATATATATATATCTTTGTTTAATGGACAACACTCTGTGCATCATAACAACTGAATTGTACAAAAATACCATATGCAAATGCTCACTTTGTCCCGCAGTATTCATGCATATATTTACTGCTTGCGTATTACAATTCTTATATATATGGAAATATGTTTGCAGCTCTCAAGCATGTGATAAACATAGAGGCCCAAGTTACTTTAATATCAATATGTGGCAGCAAGCGGTGGTTTTATTTAACAATATATGAACATCGAAATATGTTTGATGAGGCTTCGTTATAAAACAAGCTATTGAAAAAAAAAATAAAATAAAATGAAAACGGAAAAGCATATTAGTGGTGAACAGTTTTATAGGAGATAGTTTTCATTAATGCTACTTGTCAAGTGTGCTTAACTAAGGGGTATGATTAATATTTTGGTCGTTATGGTATGAAATTGATTCCAAGCCGAACCGTTAACTTTGAAACTGGCACATCTAAATAAACAATATACGCCTAGTCCTTGCTGGGTAAGAATATTTAAATAGAATCTAATTGTCATTCTTTAAACTAAACACTTTGATTGTGTATATTTAACTTTATTTTCTTTCTCTCAATCTAAAAAATCCTTAATGTAAAATCACAGAATCAGAATTCAAGACATAGGAAAGCAAACCAAAATAAAACAGCTGGTTTCCATATTCACCAATACACAAAATGAAATATATTATCCACGGATCATATTTGGCTCAGCTGATTTTTTTTATTATCATTGCATCACAAAAGTGGTACATTCCCAGGTAAACAGATGAAAAATAAATCTATTCATTTATCCATCCATTCGTACATACTTAACCTGGAGACACATACAGAGAGAATGGTGTGGACTAAACACATACACACTCATCTATAAATGCATATAAATGTGTATATATAACAATATGAATGTATGTGTGTGTGTGTAAATATACATACATACATACACATGTATACAAACACACATATATATACATATATATGTGTGTATGCACATATATATACATATATTTACACATATACATAATATAAATCATATATACATACATATATATATATACATATATTTACAGATAGATAGATACACAAATACATACACTCACATACACAAACACACACATATATATTATATATATATATATATATATATATATATATATATATATATATATATATATACATATATATATATATATATATACATATATATATATATATATACATATATATATATATATATATATATATATATATATATACATATATATATATAAATATGTAAGTATGTGTGCCTGTGTGCACATATTTACATATATGTATATACATACGTATGTGTGTGTGTTAGGGGGGTGGATGTGGTAGTGGGTGTGTTTCTGTGTGTGGATGTATACATGTGTGTGTATATATGTATATATATATATATATATATATATATATATATATATATATGTATATATATATGTATATATATATACATATACATATACATATACATATACTCATACATATACATATACATATACATATACATATACACACATAT